CCTCCAGCCCGGCGGCTACGCTCTCAAGCCCGGCGCCGAGGTCGCCCTCCTGACCGGCTGCTACGCTCTCAAGTCTGGCGCCGGGGTCGTCCTCCTGAACGGCCCTTCTTCGCTTCTGCCTGATGGCTGCCTGATGCTAATCGGTCACCTTTTGTGGCCTCATTTTCCTTTAGGACTTGTGGACAGGGTTTGGTGCCTTTGATGTTTCTGGACGTTTTAATTTCGCATGGACTTGGTACTTTTGTGTTCGTTTTGGGGTGACTGAGGGGTTTGTTTCTTGTTTTGGGCCTTGTCCCGCCTTCCGGGGTCTCCCTCCTCTCTCCCTGCTCTTTTTTGCTCTGGGTTGTTGTTGTTGTTGTTGTTGTTTTGGCTGTCTGGGATCTGTGTTGCACTCGGTAATTGGCGACTCGTTTGTCGGTGCACACAGCTGGGGTGCATCCCGCTGATTAGTTTTCCTCCTTATTTATACCTCGGGCAGACGCTCCGCCTGGGCCGGAGCATTGCGACATATAACGGATAATACTTACCCAAAGTAAGATAAATGTTATGTTTGACCCGCATTTTTAGACGTGCTTAAGATGCTACACTGACAGTTCCTGTGCGTTTTTGGCTTGACCTTATCACGCTATTATGCGGGTAGCAATATGTCCTTTTGTCTTCCACACTGACAGTCCCTGTGCTGTGGATTACATTGTGTACGTTGGTTCTTTTTGTTCACCTGTCCCTTCTCATCCTCTGCTATTCTAGTTCCTGCCGTTAGTTTGTGTGTTTACCTGTTCGTCCTGGTCTCCTTAGTCATCACTGCCCTTCCCTGGTTGTATATATTATGGACCCTGTTATGTTGTCACTTTGTTGTTTTTATTCCATTAAACCTCCTTTTTTGTACTAGCACCTGGGTCAGCCATCTTGAGTCCAACCCCAGTTCTCCCTCACCCTCCTGGTGAGGGGGACTAAACCATAACAGAAACACAACATGTGTGTCTGTATGTGTGGTAGGCATGTATTAGCAGGTTCTCACCTTTTGACAATGAGAACTGGCAAGAGAGAACTAGCAATTATGTAGGATGACACAACAGATGGTTTCTTATTTTCTTGTGAAATTATATTTTTTTAAAAATGCTTTGCACATCACTATGCCAGTATAGGGATTTCTAAAATCACTATTGCTAGTTTTCTCCTAGGACTTTACCTAGCACTTTTGACTTTGCACATTTAGCCTCTATCATGCATCATAAGTAGAGACAGAGTAAAACACCAGCTCCCACTGTAAATTAATCCCAAGCGTGTATACTTTTTAACTTTAAACACAAATAATCTGTTATTGGTAAATCCCTCCAAACATAAGTGAAAAAGTAAATAAGTGTCCGGTTTCTCATAGTGAAACAGCAAAAGAAAGAATGCTGACACAAGGACAGACAAGCTGGCAGGTGCATTTTAACAAAGTCCAACCCAAAAAGAGAGCCGGGAAAACCAGAAGAGTGGGAATTAGAGTCATGAAACAGTCTGAACCAAGCAATAAATCCAGGGGAGTTGGCCAGAGGCTGAGTTCAACAGGCAAGCAGAGTCCAAACACAAGAAAATAACAAGGAACATGAGGAACACTAGAAACAGCACTGTAGGAACCTGAGAGCATAAATGACTTAGTTTAGGCTACAGGGAGCACATAAGATGAACTGTCAGTGAAGAAATGGGCATAATCTACTGTATATACTGTACTGTGGAGCTGTGGTCACGTCTGGACAAATAAATAATGACAGGCAGGTGGGCAGGCATGAAACAGAGGGAAAGTCCAGAATCACCTGGAGTCTGGATTGGAAATGGCAGAAGTGGGATTATGACAAAACAGATTGTGGACACTGATCTTGATGGTTTAGTTTCAGAGAGACATTTACTTGCTCATACAAAGTTTTTTTATCTCTATAAAAATTATAAAACGTAAAGAAATAATCACACTAACAGTGGCTGACTGCTTTGAGGACAATCAGAAAGTATCTGATGAGTGTTACTGATGAAAATCAATTGTGATTATTTTGTATAAATCAAACTACAAACCTGCATTTGTTACATACACAGTTGCAAAGTATAACATTTCAAGAAGTAGTGTTGTATTTATTTGTTGGCAAGTCACTATTTTGATACTGATGCGATCACACCTAGATGTAGGCATTCGGTTTTTCACTTTGTTATGTTTGAATTATGCGGTGCCCTGACAGTAGCGTTTTGTCAGTTATGTCATACGCAACGTTTTTATACCTGTACCAGGCTCATTAAATCCATCCTACAGTTGTCCTTTCTGCCACCAGGTGTCACAAAGCGTAATATAGTGTTTGTGGAGGCCAACCACTATAGTAGGCTTCTGAATTGTCTGACCATAATCCTTATCATACAGGTACAGTGCCAGATAAAAAAATTATAATCTGATGCGTTGGGTTTCAAATATCTAGTCAAAGATTTAGTAAACATGGTTAACACATCACCATAAATTACTAAAAATAATAAACAGTATACAGTAAAGTATGCTACAGTTAAGAAGATAACTTAAATCTGATATATCACACAACCGCTGCCATAATCCTGTATTTACACTATGTTGATTTTATCAAACAATACTGTCAGTTTGCTTCATTAAAACAGGGGAAGAATGGGGGTTTAATGGCTGTGCACCACTGTACTATCTTACAATTTATTATTTTATACCCTACTTATTCAGTCACCCTATCTCTTAAAACGTCTGCTCTGCTGCGTGGCTAATGTCAGTTTCAGACTGACCGAACAGGTTGCTTAACAGCCCTAAATCTTAGAGGTCTCAATTGAGATGAAGTATTTAAAAATGTAACAGGGACAGCAACTCCGCAGCTATTCTCAACCACTTCCAAGCTAACTGCTAGCTGCTTCTCTGAAATTAATGCCGCAGCAAAGAACTATTATCCTGGTAAACAAAAGAAAAACATTTGTCCTAAATAGGGTTCAAAAGATACTGCCTCAAATTAGCTTAATGGAACAGCTTTGCAATGATTTTTTGCACAGAGCCAGGGCTATGTCTTTTCTCCCAGCATAGTCGCATTCTGGGTGAAAAGCTTCATGGTCAGTGTGGTGAGTAGGAAAAGTGATAGTGACTAAAACCTATTCTCACGCACATATGGGCACTCTGGTACTGTTTTAAGTTCGACTTGAAAAATTCCAAACATATCCTTAGAAGTGATTACCCTTCATCAATTGTTAATGTAGAAAAAAAGCACTTGCCACTCTGTTGGTGTTTCTCTTTTCAACACCCAAGATTTCTTTTTTGTTGTTTTGCTAACTAAATGTTAGGCTAATTAATGGTGCTAGCTATATTATTTACAACAGCTGTTGATTTAAACCTGCAATAACAGTTTTTTGGCCACTTGATAACAGTGCATATAAGGTGTAAACACATCACCACCTTTTAAATCAGTACAGTGAACTTTTTACACATCAAACAGATATGGAATAATATTAGAATTCACTTGAGGTTGCGATTCTCTCTATAAGTGACCCCTTTTAGATTTCATATGACCCGCTGTTAATGTCAACATATTTATACTTTCCTAAGGATGATGATGTCGATATTAAAACTATGAATCATTTAGCCCTAATTTTCAGTCACCTTTAGTGATCCAAGTCTCCCAACTGTAGTTTTTATTTTAATTTTTTTGTTTATATCAGCAAGCTAGAACATTCTCTCTAGACCTTACAGCAGCTGTGCAGAGTTCAGCCTGAGGTATTTACAAAACTCTTGATTTGAATGTTGAAGGAATATAATACAGGTAACTTACTGAGAAGCACTGTTTTTACATGCTTGAAAGAATAAATCAAATCAAATCAAAATCACTCAACTTCATTTAGGTAGTTTCTTACATATCACAGTAACTATATATTGCCTTTTATTCATGCACAGGAATCTGCCTCATGTTGTCGATGACCAAGTAGGCTAGTGCTTGCTGAGCCAGGCTGGGAAAGCTTAAGGTCATGCGCTGTTATCCATCACTTCCATTATCACAGCCCACATGCATTTGACAGCAGAGCTAATAAAAGGCAAACTAAACCACAGAGAATGTTTGTGATGGAACACACCGTACATCTATCTACACTTTAAGCCCTGCTCTTGCTTTCTATTCTTAAGAGTAGACGCACAAGGGTTTAGATTGGTAACCCTTCCACTGTATCATTACAGTCCTTCCCTGTGCATTTACGCTCTCCCTCAGCAACTCCTTTGTTCCCTCTCACAGCTTTCTCTGTTGCCTCTCTCAATCAACCTTGCCAGGACTATAAATACAATGACAAATCTGGCGATGAGTTTGAGGGGGGCTTTTTTGCACTGCAGCAGTCCTATGCCAAGACAGAGTCACAACATGGAGATGTGCAAAACAAAGTAATGTATATTTCACACCTGTTCAGTTATATGGCTGGAGGAGACGCTGTGTTTAATGAATATTGCCAGAGTAATATCTTGAAAATGTCAGAGGGGGCAAAGCAGCTCCATTGCTTCTAGTTGAGATGTGGTTTGAGGCAGGATTTCAGTGTCGAGATTGTAAAGTGATATTGTAGTTCCATTGCCCTAGTTACTGGATCCAATTTAGGGCATCACTCAACTTTAAATTTATACCTGTCTGCAGTAGCGGGGAAACCTTGTAAAGCCATAAGAGAATGAGCGATCGACTCATCTGTTTGTAATGGGACTGAGCGCACTGGCCAGTGCTCATAATTTGACCCGGAACAAGCTTTGACAGGAACAGGGGGCCAGATTAAGATCTATTCCTATCACACCTCCCCCTTTCTCCTCCTCCACCAGCCTGCAGCCCCAACGGCTCCCACTCATGGTTCCCACTCTGGTTGCTCTTATTTGCTATGAAATTTCACATTAACCTCCCGCAACCCGCGCATTGGAGGCAAAAGCAAAGCAACTTTCCAATCTGCAACCGCTCCTCTTGGAAAGATAATCATTTGCCTTGTCATTTCCCCTGTCCCCCCAGCCAGAAGATAACCTCTAGCACCAGCTCCAGCACTGCAGAGTATGATTCCATTCTGCAGTATCAAACTCTTAAGAGATGAGGTAAGCCCGTTTCTTCAGCCTCACTTGCTGGTTATCACCTTCCCGCAGGCAGACAAACAAGGGACAGTCGGTGTTTGGGGAAGCAAAGAATTGTCTTCAATATAGTTTTGGATTAAACAACTGTTTTAACAAAATATAAATCAAACCTTCTGCAAAGTGACAATAAAGATAGACGTGAGATTAGAAGTAATCGAATATGTATCCTCTTGCAGAAGAGGAATTCAGGGGTGAAAAACAGGTTTGATGTATTTATTGTATGTATTTTTTTCTTTAAGAGGGAAACAGATTATATTTAAAATCTATTTTCTTGTTTTGTGGGCATCAGTAATCTTTCCAGCTTGTCTGCCTTTATTGTTTTTTCTTCACAGCCCAATGAGCTGTTATTGTACCTAAGCCTCCCAAGGACAGTGAATGGCAGGCTTAGTCACCATAATATAGAGTCTACTTAAAGTAAGTCCCTTGGTATCTCAGTTAAGCATGTCACTTGCAGAAGCGAAGGGCAGAAAAGAAAAACACAGGCTAGCAGGCAATGAATGAAGATTATAGGTTTTTGTGGGGGAGACAATTGTGGGTATTCAGTAATTATTATGAATTGGTTTTACTGTGGGCAGGAAAGTTCGAAACATCAGAGGCTTGAAAATGTGCGAGCCATTCAGTCATGGCAGTGGCCTTTGCTTCCCTGTAGTCATCAAAGTCCTCGTTGTTCAATGACTCCTGATCATTTAAAAGCCAGTTAGACAGGAGGCACTTGGTTCCTTACTTCACTTCTGCAATGCTTCCATCCCTTTTTGGTGGCAGGACATAATTACAGAATCTGAATTAGAAATCAGAAGTATGTGTCATTCATAATGTATGAGGCAGAGAGTTGCAGCACAGCAGGTAGAACTTCAGCCTAATGCAAGAACACTTTCATATTCTTGTCTTAAACCTCTCTTACTGTTTTCTGTGAGGTCTGCTCATGTCCGATTTGGATTCAGCAAACTCTCTTAAGTGAGTAAATCTGTCATAAATTGTTTGTTTCAGGCTGATGAATGCCGTCATTAGCATAACCAGTGCCCTGAAATTGCCGTGCTCTACAACATCGTTTGTTTATGAGCAAGTTTCATTCACAAAAATGACTTTCACACCGTAGAGCTCTAAAGGGCTGGCATTACGTATGGTTCATTTTGACTAATTTTATAAACACTGAGTCTATATTACATTTTATTCACCAAAGGTTCATTAGATTTCTTTAAATCCTTCTTCCTAACAACACAGATTCCCCCTCATCTGTTAGGAGGCTGTTAGAAGCTATTTACATCAAATCTGCATTATTCATGACCACCTACTTCAATTGGCTGCAGGTGAAGCTTGTATTTTCACCCACAGCCAATCAGAAAACTAGCTAATGAATAATACATTTACCTTGAGTATGGCTGCAGTTGCAGATGTAAGACTATAGTGTCTATAAACTTGAGTCTGAACCCAGGAAGGGGAACCATTTGCCATTGCACAAGCGAGACTTCATCAAGATTGGGTCAGAATGGTAAGATTGTATCTAAGTTTCTTAACAAAGACTTTTTATTGATTGTGGCCAGAGATAGCAAACTTATCTTTAACACAGATAACAATCAAAGTCCTTTATAAGAGTAACTAAAAGAAACTATGGATGTGTTTGTTTAAAAACTTAATCAAAAGTGAAAATTTCCATCCTCTGAAAGAATAAAACTGTCAGGTTTGCCCGGCTGCGCTTGCTTATTTCTTACTCTGTCTCTTTGCCCCTGATTATTGATCACGGTCACCTGTTCCTCACTCCTTTATCACCAGCTGCACCTTTTTAGATTGTTTGTTTGTTACTTATACCCGGTTAACATCTCATTCACTTGCCAGTTTGTTCTTGTCCCTATGCTACACTCTTCGTACTCACTAGATATTCTCCTCGTCTTTTTTGTGCTCTGCCTTACGTTACTGCCCTGGATTATCTGTTTATCAACGCCTTTAACCAGCTCCTGTGTTTTTTTCTACTCGGACTGTTCCTCTGCACTGTGGCTCTACTCTTCCCTCCCAGGCAGGTCAATGCACAGTCACCGGTTGTTTCTGCCATAACCAACGCCTCTCTATGCCCTTTCAGTAGCTACCTCTCAACCACCTACCAGCCCAGGAGTGATCCCACCACGCAGCTCGGCCTACCACATCCTAACCATCCATCTCCTCTTCCTCACCTCCTGGTCGACACCCGGCTACTCCTCGTCTTTCAGTAACCACAGATTCTTTGTTTGTATATATCACCACACTGTATTGTAATAAATCACAGCTTGCAGCGAAGTCAGCTACCTGGGTCCGCCTTGTTCTTCTTGCTCACTCACCTCTGTGTACGAACAAAACATAAAGACTTTGGCCTTTTAGCTGCTGAGCAACCAGTAACAGCATACTGTGCAAACTGGTGAATGCCACAAATTCTCTTAATCACTCATACAAATAAATCTGTTCTTACATGTGGTATGAGGCTCAACAGACACTTTCACATCTGTAGCTGAGTTTACTTGATCTTAACCAAGGGGAAAAAAGATAGATTCTTGCCTTTAAGTTCTGTTGCAGTTTGTGTTCACACTGGCTTTCTATGAACAATCCAAGAGCTTTAACACCTAGAACCTGCTCTAGAACATAAATCAGTTCGCTGGTCATGAACTGTCAAGGGAGGAATCCTATGAGCAACCAGGGTAAGAGATATGCTATAATATGTTTAACCATGGATGTTTCTGTGATATGTTATAAAGTAAAAAAGGTTCAGAGGTGTGTTGTGCTTTTGTCCTATGGTTTGTATTTTTGTAATTCCACATTAAAAAGTGACTGAAACATACAAAAGCAACCACACAGTTATACTCCTGTAATACTGTTTTTCAGCCTGATTGTCCCTGGCAAACATTATTCATGCTGTAAAATGATGTTCAGTTGCAGCCTCAACTGATATTACTTATAATTAGTTATTTCTTAGTAAATATTCAGCTTTAAAATTCATACTTAAGTCATGTCAAAATCCCCTGAGTTCTCTGGATTTCGCATTACTAAAGCATTGCACCAGAGCTGACTTAGAAGAGGACCCACCTTTTCAGGTGGTCTTTGTATAGTTGAGTCCCCATCAGCTTTCACAAGCAAACTGAGTCATCCAGAAAAAGCACACTAGAGTTTATTTGAACTGAGCCAAGGAGGTCAGGTGTGAAAGCACCCTAAAAGTCCTGATATAGTGCCACAACAATGCTGGCAGTTACAATTTGTACTGGCTGTAACAAATCCATTTTCTTTTTCTGAACTGCTGAGAGCAGTTTTTTGATCTTCATCTCGTCACTTCAATGATATAAAGAATCAAAAGCAAACTATTTTTGCACTTTGCGCCTTATTGATTTCCAGTGAGCTTCAAAAAAAGTCTTTATCATTCAGTGAACCTCTTTGATAGTGGTCCTGGACTGAAGATTTACCTTGTTTGATACAACAAATATAGTTTGAGACTGGAGACTATGTGATTACTTACAAGAAATATTCTCTAAATCATAAACTGATGATTGATCAATGGACAGAGACAGATCAGAGACACCCAGACCAAGAAGAATGAGGAATCCTACTTTAGGTGTAAGAAGACAAGCATGCAAAATCACAGCCCATGAACCTAGTGTCAGAAACATTATACCACACACAGTCACTTCAGCAAACCACCAGCACTTTTTATGGAATTTGTCAAAAACAGGAATTTCCTAAAACCCTTACATTCCACAGACACTCTGAGCTGATGTATTAATTAGCAAGCTTCTTTTTACTTGCCCTCCTCCTCCCTGTTCCACTCTTGTCGTTTTTTTTTCTAGACATAAAAAAGCTCAAAGCAGTATGGATGAAATGAATTGTTATCCCCGCTACAGCTCTCAGAAAACTCTCTTGGCCACCAGATTTTCCTCTCAGTATCTCTACTTCTTGCCATTGTTCTGTGTGATATAAATGCCACTGGCAGCCCCAATTATCCCTCCTCCCCAAACCATCAGTCACTTTATCACAATCATAGTTCACGTTCTAAATATCAAATTTAGAAAAACAGTCCTTTAAGGGTGTTTGTCCACTGGGTCTCCTTCATAACCAGAACCCCCATGATACCCTGTGGCCAAACTGAACTGCGTTGAGACAGAAGGAGGAGGGAGGAAGATGGCAAAGTGAAGTTAGCAATAAGACATAATAAGACAAAGTAAGTGAAAACTAACAAGAACTAACTAACTGAAAGCAAGGGTAGCTTGTGAAGAGGGAGATTCTCAAAGGACCACTTCATCGGGAAGGAGTCGTGTGACAGACAGACACAGCAGAAGGTGATGGTAGGCAACTGTTTAGTAGTATCTGACTGTTGTCAGTGAATAAACCAATTATCAGAACCTTGAACAATAAAAAAAAACCTCTCTACCACAAAGGGAAAAATGTGGTAAAGCTTCTTAATCAGCTTGTAATGTTTTACTCTTCTATTTAGTTTTATCGAAGCAGTAGTCTACCTTCTCCTACCTTCTCACTGACTGCAATCATTTAAAAATTATCGTCATGAGAAAGAAAAAAACTAAATAAAGATTTGTAACAAGCTAACTTACCTTAGCCCTTAGGATTCTTGGAATATATTTGGCTACTTTGGCAGATTTATTTTTATATTTTTGAGTTTACCTTTATATACATGAAGATATGTTTAACGTGCTAGTGTTTGGTATCATTTTCTTCAGCACAGCTTCATTATTTTGACCTGACAAGTATTTGTACATTTTGACATGCAACATCAACATGTATGATGATCAGCTCCTGGGGGTTAGTACATGTGCAAAATGAATGTTTTTAAAGGATAAAGTTGGCAAATTTTTATATTGCTATTTTCAGCCCTTCCAATACAGAAACCTAAACCAACAATGAATTGTTTCTATACATGGTTGTCAAGTCTCCAGCCAGGATTAGCTTATTCATCTCTGCCATAAACCTCCACTGTTGTTCAAAAATGACTAAAAACGCATCAGTGAAACACACCGCTGCACGGGGTGACACACATCCTCATTTCGAACCAACAGACCCACATATGACCCTACCATTTTACAGCTTATCTTAGCATCCTGTATTACAGAAATATCTGTTTTTGACAGTAACTTTTGTACTAAAAGGACAACATCAAATGCAAATATCAATTATTTATGAAATGCATTTATTGTACTTTTATAAATTATAAAACCATATTGTTAATGCGATAGCCAGTGCAGTCTTTAAGGTAACACTGTAATATTACTGTAGCTTACACAGCCAGTGATGGTGAATTTGCAGTAAGCATGCTGCAGATTAGCTCACTAGCAGTAGAGCTAGTTCACTGGGTCCAGAGTTTTCAGTAAGGGGTCCAATATTTAAAAAATGTTCAGTACCTTAATTTAAAATTAGGGAAGAATGCTCTTTTGGTTACCATGTTGCATCAAATCCATCCACCAACCATTCCCTGCTAAAACAAGTCCCTTTAAGTGCATGCTGACAGTTCTTCATACCGCTGCTGGTATGAATGTCCTTATATTTTTCCTAAGGGGCTTTAAACCCAAGAATTTTCAATTCCAAGTTATTGAATTGTGGAAAAGATTCTGTTCAGACTTCTTTGCTTAGCAAAAGCATTAAAAAAGCAAAATTATTTCTGACACACCCTGTATTTCAACTGTGCTTCTATTTTGGCACAGTAAATGTTTTGGAGATTCACTGAAACGCCAATAAAAAATAAAAGAAGAAGAAGAGGGAAAAAAACCAGCATACATGATGAATATGCCAGTTTCTTGGCAGAAGACCTGCAGTACACTGTGTGCCTTCACAAAACTAAAGCCCATCAACTGCTGCAGGGATTAAACTAGCAAGCCTTCCACTTAGTCTCTAGCTTTACACAACCTTGCCAGGGGGAAAGAGATCTTAGGTGTAGCTAAGAGGAAAATATACACAACAGAAAAGGAGAGGAACAGGAAGTGGACATACTTTTTCGGCCTGTAGTCGGGGATGCTCCTGTCCAGGGAGATGCGGTCACTGAGTTGAGCATTGTAACCGTACTCCTCGTACTTCCCTTCAGCATCGCGACTGTCCCCTCCGAGAGTGGCAGCAGCTCCCCCCTGGCCAAGGCCTCCGGGTCCCTCCACCAACCCCATGGGCTTTGCCAAACCTGCCAAGAAAATGAGACACCAGAAGGACAATCATACAGATGTGGCCATGTGTAGAGGCAGACATGCTTGCAAAGAACAGGGAGTGACAGGTGAGAAGAGGGGCCATGCAGAAGGGAGGCTGATTGCAATTCTCTAGCAGTGTGAATAGACTGGTGTATGGCAGCTCACAGACCCAGCGGGGCTCATCCATAGGGCATCATTACACTGTCTGTCAATGAAAAAGCTGCAAAACACCAACATGGGCATAGACATCACAGAGATGAGCATAGCAGAGCTGAAGGGGAGAGACACATTGGTACAAGGGCCAACGATAAAGACCAGAGAAAATGTATGGTGCACAGCTGTACACGGTGTGAGGGAGTAACTAGTTACATGGAACTAGTCACAACTGTCAAGAAAAAGAAAAACACCAGAAAGACAATCATATAGGACAGTCATACTGTATATGTAACTAGTTAATGTATTTATATTACAAAATGAATGTTATTGTAATTATACAGTTACTGAGAAAAATATGTAATTAAATTACAGTTACTAATCAAAATGTTTACAAAAGGGTTACATATTTTCTGTAAAATGTTTATACTGTATAACTACAGAACATTCATCTTGCTGCTTTGCATCTTTTCACCTTGCACAGCGCCTTCTTTTGGCATATTTCCAGACAACATGGGTCAGCAAAGCCGTTGGGACCAATAACAGCATCAAGGGTAGGATGGCTTACAAGGAGCTGTCTCTGTGTCTAGATAGGCTCCATTCATTTGGCAGCATGTCTTAAGATTTGAATGTTGCTTTTGACTGGCTCTCTTGTTTGACTTTGCACCATCAACCAAATCAACACGTGATTTGACTGCTCTAAGCAGTCTGGCTGCGACCTGCCGACAACACCAAGGCAAGCGGCCATGTTATCAGACAAGAGCACTTTATAGTGCTGGAAATGCAACAGTATGTTCCTTATGAAATCAGAAAAGGGTTTTGCTTGGTGCCTGTTCAGTGGGCTGCATGTTTCATAAGTAAGATATTATGTAACTGAAGTTATGTTGAAGAAACTGTAATAGCAGTTGGACAGTAATCAGTGTGGAGTACTGTTATGAGGTTTACACTGCCTGGTTGAAAGTTGTGTTAGAACTTCTTAATTTTATTGCCTGGTATTAAACAGTTTTTAGAAAAATAATTAAAAATGATAAGTTGCATTACTTTCATTATGTAATTAAAATTGTTACATTACTTATTATATTTTTAACACGGTAACTAGTAACTTGCAACCTATTACATTTCAAAAGGAAGAAACTGGAAATGAACATATTAAAAGATGATAACCATTTTTGGTAGTCAAAATCCTCTTGCTTTATTGTGAACACCTTTTTCAGTTCAGTATAAAAACACCATGACCATATAGTTTAAATTAATTTGACTTAGTAGATTTAAGACTCTGTTTTAAAAAAAACCTGTGATTTTTACAGACACATGTCCAACAATGAGCCACCAGATGTTACACTGAGCCCCTAATGGCTCTATATGGTTAATTATAGGAGCATTATAGAAGCCGTGTGGAGCACCACCATGACCGTGAAGTGGTTATTCAAACAGTGCTTGCTCCATGCAGGTCCTTTTATCCCACAAAGAATCCCCGAGGAGCAGCCAGATTGCCTATTCGTGGGCTTAGTGTTGAATGAAGGCCAATCCTAGGTTAGCCACATCATTTTAGGCTGCTTTGTTCTAACATAACTAAAATTCAGCACTGGATTTAATGTGTTAGAAAACCTCTCTGCTCTCATTAAAATGACCTATGACTGAGAATTAACAGACCATCACCTTGGTGGTGTAAAAGTGAGAAAATGGGGCGGTTCTGTGTCAAAAAGGAAAACGTCTTAAAATATGAAATAGTCCTGTTCACTGATTCAGACCTCTAAGGGACTTACAATTATTACTCTGGTGGTGGTGGGACCTTATGTTTGACCTTTTTTTAAACAAAAACTAAGTATTGTTTACGGTTATTAATATTATTCTATACTCTTCCCTTAACCCAGAAAAAAATCTCTCTCTAATTTCTTATATCAACCCTGATTTCAAGCTTTATATGAAATTATCATTCTATTAGCAGTTCATTTAACAATATTTTTAAATTCAGTCAGTTTAGATGTAAAATGTACAATGAAAATAAAGATATTTTATTCTATTCTATTTTAATTAGCCCAAATCACACATTAGAGGGTAAACACACACCAAATTATTAATTTTCTTTAGCTGTACACATAATCATGCCAAATTTTGCTGATGTTATCAATGCAGATAATTTTTCCAATAAAATTCATATTGTTTGCAAATCTTCTGGTCAAACTTAGCATGATTCTGTCACTTTGGATCAGTTTGGATTTACAAGCTCAGTTCTGCCCAGTCCGCCAACCTCTCCCTAATAGTGGCGACACAAACATGATGCTAAACATAACTGGTCTGTTGCTTTTTCTGGTTCTTCCAGCTGCTGTCGCTTTTTTGAACCAAGAGCTAATAAACAAATAATGTACAACGGTTGTTAATGAATAAACAAATGGGGTCTTCAGCGGCATTATACTGTATCTTCTATTCCGTCATTACTAGATCAAAATGGCTTGTGCTGGAAAAGCATTATATTATAGGTTAACTTGATATGATATTGTAGACCTTTGCGATAATGCACAGCATAGGAAAGTCAGTGAACAAAACGGTGCACTATATAGGGAAATAAAGTTCAGTTACTGACATTAAGGATCAACTTCTGACATATTGGCCCTAGTACTAGACAATAAAGCCCTGACACAGAGATATGGCTGTTGTCATCTGCATATGATAAACCATGATGATTAATGGCACGCACAAAAGTCATACTTTGGTTTTGATCTGTTTTGTCCTACTAAATTATTCAGTTTTTCTGCAATAAATACTGCAAGAAAAGGAATAAATACTAAAATAGCCAGGACCTTCCCTTCAGCAATAAATACATACCCCTACCCCTTCTCTGAACCTACACCCCAAAACATTCTTGTACAGTGCCTAAAGTATACAGAGATTGCTTGGGGCATGTTGTCAGCTTTACCATTATCTGTCCTTACAGTCCTGACTATTGTTTGACTATTTAAAATTCCATGGAACTGCAGGATAATGTCAGATAATTGTTATGCGAGCCAAGCTCCCAGTGTAGCCTCGACAGAAAAATCGAGCTGCGTCTGTTCTCCATATCAACAGATGGACACACAGACAGTAAGTAAACAGTGCATACCAATGAAGAGCTCAGTTCTTAGCTTCACCCCTCCAGGAAGTGCGGAATAATCACCATTTTTGGATGGCCTCAAATCCTCGGGTGCTACTGAAGATTTGTAATTGGAACTGAATGGTTGCAAACTGGCTTTTCCCACAAGAGGGGTTTAGCATGCCCTGCACCAGCCAATGTGATGGCATATTGACAAGTATGGGTGGAGTTCACGTCACGGACCAGCCATCTGGCATCACGGCTCGTGTCACACAATAACACAGATACCCTCCAGAGCTGGAGATTTGAGTCTGGAGGGCCTCGTTGTCTCTGCATGAGTCTTGGAAGCAGGACAATGCCTGGCAGCTTTGTTTTCTGGGCACTGTGTTATGTTGCTCCCCCCTGCCTTCCACTTTCTCTGTTTGATTGAAGGAAATTGTATTATGGGATGAGAGGCTGTGAATACTCCCAGAAAAAGACCTGAAAATCTGATGTGCTGCTGTCTGTCTGTACCACTTCAATACAAGTTTAAGGATTAGAGAAACAGTTTCCTGATGGCGAGTTTGTATTTCTGACATTAAAACAGTTCTGCAGCAAATTGTCAAGTGATTATCTATAAAACATTAGAGATGTTTTGCAGGGTGCTGTTATTGTGTAGCTGCTGACAACCTGTTTTGATCACACCTGGTCGGCATTTGCAGTAGTTACATTGTTCTGCTCGGCTTTGATGCATTTTGTTATGTTTTCTGTATTTTATCATTTCTTCTTGTGAAATTTGTCTGGAAGAAACCAGAAGACATACAAAAAAAGAAAAGACAAAAAACTGACTGCTTGCACCCAAAACTAGAAGTTTTTTCTGCATCTCTTGCAAAGAAGAACTGGACCATGTACCTCCGTGAGCATTGAATAAACACTGTAAGGATTAAAAGCTATTCCCTACTCCTGCTGCATGAGTTAAAAATGCATGATCCTGTGAGTCATTCTGTGTAAAAGCATCCAGCAAGTGGGCTGTTATGTTACAGTCAAAAAAAGATGACCAAACCAAACATCATACCTGAAGTATTCGACTGCACAACTTTAAAATGCTGATGTGCTTCCTGTGACTTATTCTTTCACTCATTATTTCTGATGTGAGTTCACAATCTGAAAAGCATCATTGTACTTTCATCATCTTACTATGAGACAATTACAGCCCAACATATGCTTCTTCCATTCAGGATTCATTCCCATCCAAAGTGTCAGCTGGATGTGAATCTTCACACCTTCAGACGCCAGTTTGAATCATGTTGTGTCTGAGTGTACATCTGTGTCTGGTCTCCTTCCTCACAATCCATTCTCCCAGATCCCTCTGTCATGAGACATTTGACCCATAACTCCTATAGATTATACAGTACATCATACTTCAGAATACGTATGATTTGACCTTTATAAGACAGAATCTCTCATTCAAAGATGACCCAATTTTTAATGCATGATTTAAGAGTGAGAGTGGACTAATGGATTAATGCGTGTCCAAAGTGATGCAGGGGAGTTCTAAATATTGATGGTGAGTGGAGGGTTGGGGATTCAGAGGTTTCTTTAGGAAGAAGAAAATAACTCATTCTTGAGAGTTTTAAAGCATTCAAAGGCCAAAACAAATCTATAAAATACTGAGAGCTGGGAGAAGAGTTGCATTCATTTTAGCCACTGCCTCTGAGCAGCAGCAGCAGCAGCAGGCGTGTGTTTTTACTTCTTTCCTTTTCTTTTCTATTTTTTTTTAGATATAGCTTCACT